TATCAGTAAACTGTATATAGGTATAAAATAAAAAGTAAGCCAAACTGAATTTACCCATTAGGTCACAGGAATACTGGTGAGATTGGTGCCTTTGCAGGTCCGTTTTAATCATTTCATCTTATTTTAAAACCAGGAGAAATTAATATTTCTGATACTCAACAATAAAAAAAATCCAATTTACTTTTCCCTTATATACCTAAAGGTAGCATTCTTACCACTTGAAGTGATAAATTTAAATTTATTTAGCATATACGAGGGATGTCAAAAAATAGGAATTAAGGCAGTTACTTATTTTTAAAAATATAAAAAAAAGATGTGATAGATTTTATCATTTCTTAAGAATAAACAATCATATTATAAGCTTTGAAAGTAATTTATAATGGATAGACACCAATCTATAAATTTGTTGAAACTTACCTTTATAGTCTGTAATCTTGTTCCAAGAAAGATCTAATGGAGACTGTTAAGCCTAATAGAAACAATAGATCTCTGTTTACAAACATATAAACTAGAAGCATAGAAAGGTTGAAGTGACGAGGCCTTTAAACCTTGACTAGCGGCATTAATTTTATTCGGATAATATATTTATATTTAAATAAAATGCTAAGATAAATTAACTGTAGCTTTATTAGTAAAATAGTAACATTACAATTTTCCATAAAAACGTCCCCAACTCTAGCAACATTTTCATTGATTTGTTATCGATTCAGGTTTTATATTTGTTCTTGTAAACTAAAATATTTCTATATCATAAATAACAATTTTATAGATGAGAAATACATTTTTCATAAATTTTTAATGACATTTATAGATTTAAAATAGATATTTGTGTACCAAAGGCTGTAAGTATCGAGTTGCCCTTTTACGGCCGAATCAGAAATTTACGGCCGAAGCCAAGTAACTTCTGGCAAGTAATATTACATCAATTTAACAACTTATGTAAGAATAGAAAATCCGTATCATGCATTCATTTTTCACGAGAGCAATTATTAATAATTCCAGTTATTTGACGCCAGTATCTAGCATGTTTATTCCTACATGGTATGTATGTCTGAAAAACCTCCTGTATTCTAATAAATCACATAAATTAAATTTTGTCTATGTACAACTTGTGTGTGATAAAAATGTTTTATATATGACTCAATTAAGCTTCATTCAAAAATGTATTAACATACAATTAACGCAAATTGAAAAACAATACAAGAATTAAATTATAAAATTTCAATATAAAATTATTAAAAAAATACAATATAAAAGTATCAAAGGTGGTAATTATAAATAAAAAAAGGACAAAATTGGTTAGTGGAGTGTCTATTTTCAAAGAAATATAATGGAAATCCCATAGGAACCGAAGTTGTGCATGGGCTACATATTATATTTAAATGTATGTCACCAAATTGAATTATTTTTAGTTTCATACTAGATACATAGGTACCTCAACTGCTTCTGATGCATTTCAACTCATGTAATTTTTGGTCTCTTAAATAAATATGTTAGAAGCGAATATTGACAGATATTCTAGACTGAAACCTTCTACTTCGCTGAGTTAAAACGGGGGCTTATTGTCTAACCAGCATTTTTGAAAGCACTCAGCTCCCTCCATAAACGCGACAACTAGCAAAAGTGTAAAGCACAAACGTTTTGGTATTCTCTACTTGTTGTGTTGTTCGTATTTGAAAAAAGTAAAGCGCATTCAAAAAAGTTTATTTTTAGAAGTAGATAAGTCAAACATTAAAATATATATCTAAATATTATGACTTGAATATTAAAATGTGAGCAAATATATGATGTTTATTGTTTATGATTCCTTACCATTCTGAAATTGGCCTTAATATATTCTAATTGAGTTTATAATTGTAATAATGTCAAAATGACATTCAAATACTAACCTTAAGACAAATCAGCATTTACGATTTATATTATGACAGATTACAACAAAAATTAAAATCACATACGAATAGCAAAATCGTCTAGCATTTGAGAATACCAATAATAATAATAGTAAACGTACTTTATTGGCATAACCAACTGGCCATCGACCGAAGTCCTTCAGCCTGAGAATACCATAATCACATGCTTGTCGTTTTGGTGATTGAACTTTGTTGAGAAGTCTGCTTGGCGCTTTCGTTGATATGCATTTTCAGCTGAAACTTAGAAAATAACCCCCTTTGACTTGTCCTAGATTAACACACTTCTCATTTATAAACTTTTAACAGGTTTTTTAAAGTTTTTGGAATTTTAGATATTTTAATAATCTCCAAAATGATGTGACAAATATTTTTTTAAAAACGGGCATTTTTAAATGTATCTATTATTTTTATCATAACTTTTTGTCTCTGAATTTGGGTATTTTTATAGATGTCTTCTTTATAATTTGAATAACCTATTCTATAGCTTCTGGAGCAATGTCGGTGGAACAACTTAAATTTTCTGATCCAGTATGTGCATATTATAATTATAAATCTCTTCTAGACTCTGTCTTTCACTACATTCACTAGGAAGTAAATTTTCCCTAAAAAGAATTATAAAATATTTACAATATAATCATTCTATAAGTATAATTCATTTCATTACTAAGAAAAAAGAAACACTTTGGAGTAGTTTATATTTTCATAAAATGTTTTCTTTCCAGAAAGCACTGAGATTTATTTTACTTTGTCTAGGAGAATACAATATAGCATTTATTTTTTAAATTTAATCTCCAAGTTTATAATGTATGAAAAATTTATATTACATAATATTATTATAACTTACTTGAAGACGGACCAAGTTGAGAAGTGAATAAAATAGGAATTGCTTCCAGACTTAAATTCGTCTTTTCCGGCAGAATTCATAACAAAATAATATAAAATGTTTCCAATATATTTTATATTTCCAATTTATGTTAATTTTATCAACTTCGACCTTCTCTAATTCTAGGATATGAATACAAATTTCCATTGCTTCAGTTTGTAAGAAACCTGCGTAAAAAAATACTAATAATATTTTACAATATAGGTGTACCGCCCATGTGTTTTATTTACTTACCTTTGAAACGAAGTAGAACTTCTCCAAATTTGTTTTAGGGCAAACAAACATTGAATAATAATTTTTAGACTAACAACTAACAAAATTCGTTAAAAAAACATTCTAGACACTCTAAAAACTTTAAAAATGTGCCCTGGGAATATAAAATCACTAAAAATGTACAAACAAAACTGACAGTTCCCAAATGCTTGTTGACAGTTGTGAGTAATTGGCGCTGGTATTTAAAATAGACTAATCACATCAAAGACCAGGAAGAAAGAGAAAGTAATAGATAAAACGGTTCATATTAGCTTCAAACACATCCAGACCGTTACTTATCTATTATTCATTTGTTTATCTGAGGTATTTACCCAAATTAAAGAGCAAACATAATCTTAGTTATTTTAAAATTATTTTAATAATAATTGTTAAAGATAAATATCTAGGATCTAATTTAAAACAATTTCAATAATTTAACAATCATATCGATTTTAGTATTAATATGGACATTACATAGATCAAAATAGAAATTAGGCGTTTGACATTTTTTGACAACTACAGGAGTGCGTTTAGAAACCTCGCACGGCGCGTCTGACCGCATACATTAGAATAGGGCCCAGACGCGCCGTGCGTGGTTTCTAAACGCACTCCTGCGGAAAGTAACATATTCTCACTTGGGTGGAAAGTAAATTCTTAGTCATACGCGTGTGATATAGGACACTTTCCATATAGGACTATATAGTGTGATATGTGTCACTTTCCTAAGTGGTCGTAGGAAAAAATTAATTTTAGTCATAATCTAATATTTTTTATTTAACATTGGTGGCGAAAGGACCTCCTTAATTCTTACTCACTCTGAAATTAAATAATTTACCAAATATAGATTTTTTAAGTTAAGAGTCATCTTCCAACCGATCCCTTACTTAAAATTATCAGGGGGGTGCGAGCCGTTGCAAATTTCACACTTGACGAAAGTTGGTCAATAGATTGTTTATCTACTAGTTTTGTTGTTAATAGATTTCAGTGCGGAGGGCGCCACATTACGGTTAGAAAAATGTTACTTGTTTATGCTTAGGGCCGCGATTAATAACTTATTTTTTGACTTTTTTGAAGAAAGAACATTTTAGGACAAAGTTAAGATTTGTAGCAGGGATATATGTTGAAATAAATGGTCATACATAGGTACTTGATGAAACAAAATTTGATTTTTCTCGAAAACGGTCGACTTTAGAGCGTATGGCCAAGATTACCATTTTTGTGTAGAAAACATTGACGGTTCAAATGGGCGTTTTAAAACCGTACTTTTTTCAGTGGCGTAGAATTTTTTTTTCAATTTCAACATCCTGTATTTCGAAAATGGTGCATTTTAGAGGGTAAGTTAATAGAAACATTTTTTTATATTTTTGGACGAGCTATCACGTCCTGAAGTCCTGCGTATATATTGTGAAACACCCTGTATATAATTAGATTTTCCAAATTATCTTATAATGACATGATTAGCGCCTTAAAATACGTAATATTGTCACCTTTTTCTATCTTGAATAATAGCAATGTTCTTATACATCCCTAGAAATACGTTTTCTTTCATCACCTGCACAAGCAGTTTTGAGTAATGTTGAAAAATAAATAGTTGTAATTGCGCACGAGCTTGACCGCTGTTTTTCGCTTAAAAATTCAGACGGAGGATGGCCCTTAAACGGTTGCAGAGATATTAAATGTTTTCGAAATTTATAGCCCCACTTTAGGCTTCCCTAACTCCTTAGAGGTATATCTTGGTATAGAGGTAAATTGCATTAAATCATCATATTTTGGGGTGCCCAACACGCACCTGTTCTGTGTCGGTACTTATGTATATATTTTTACCAAAAACCTATTTAAATTCTAATATTTGGCTACTAATAAACCCTATGAAGCAAATTAATTTTTATTTATTTTAAGATTGTTTTGTTTTGTTTTTTTAATTTTTTTTGCGCAAAACTAACGGCATCTTCCAGGTACTAACAGCTTTAGGACAAACATGGCATCCAGACCATTTTTGCTGTAACGAATGCAAAGAACCCATTACCGAAACCAAATTCCATACTAACGACAATTCGCCGTATTGTACACCTTGCCACATAAAGCTTTTCGCTCCCACATGCCACGCCTGTGATCAACCCATTTTGGATGTAAGTGTTTTTATCGATTCCATTATTTATTAACTCGTAAAAATTATGGAGAAGTTTATTAAAAAAAGTATATAAATAGTAATGAAGTCTTGGATGTATGCCAAAGGAAAACAATTTGGGAAAAAGCATCACTAAAGGGGGCTTTTAATAAAAAATTATAATCCATTCACGAAGAAGTTATAATTTGTTTTATTGAAAGGTACTAAAAATTGATATCTCTACTAGTTTCGGATAAGTTGGGCTATCATCAGAACATAATGAAAACTAGTGATCGTAAAACATCAAACTATGATCAAAGGTGAATTAAATACTTTTTAGGGTAAATTTAATTGGGGGAAAAACATCGGAGTAAAAGAAATAAAAACATTGCCTCAATGTCCTAACACGATCGGGAAATAAAAATAAGAAGACAGAAATAACGAGAAAAGGGAGTTGCATAGCAAGCATGAAGAAGATGTATCTGCTCTACAAGTGGATTGGGAAAGCCACTCTAAGGCAAGATAATAGATGTTGAAGATGGTGGACGAAAACCTTAGATTCGAAGGAATATAAAATAGGTATTTTCTCTTTATGTCGACAAAAGGTAGTTCATAAATGGAACCACATATTCTGGGGACAAAAATAACTATTGAACATAGCTTACTGCAAATGTGCACATACAAAAAGTTACAGGCACTTGGAAAGTACAGAAATTTCATGAACTGTTTAACATTTTGTAATGAAAATAGATACATGGCTTTCTTATCTGTGCAGCCCACAAAAATTTTTAGGGGTGTTTTAAACCCCGTTACAGTTAAATTAGTATTCTGACACCATTGGTTTAATATACCATTTTTTAAATTTTTTTGCTTCTTAGCAGTTTTTCGAAAATCCAGTTTTTATCGAGATGGCGGCCTCTCTTCAATACTGTAGTTTCTACGGATAAATAACAAACAGTTACTTTAACAATTACATACTGTCAATTGAAGCTTTCGATTATTGTGCATTTTAAGGGTGTTAAGAAAAATTAAACTTTCTGTTACAATGGTTTACACGTTTGCAAAAATGGCAGATATGCATTTAATTCTGGGTAAGCTGGATCAGGCTAAAACAAGGTTTTAGATAATTATCTGGAATTCTGGCAATCACAGGGGAATAATGCAGCAGCTGCAAGGCGATATTCGGAAAAATATCCCAATCGGAATACACCTGAGAGACGATTGTTTTTTTTTTCATATATCGTCATTTACGGGAGACAGGAGAGACAGGTACTTTGCGACCGCAACTTGCTGGTAATAGTGGTCGTCCAAAAGTGGATACAAACGATGAGGAGATTTTAGAAGTAGTCGAAGAAAACCCTGGAGGCAGTACAATTAGATGTTGGTCACATGATGAATTGGAAAAGAAAAGCAGCTTCATCCCTATCACTTATCATCCGTTCAAGATTACTAAATGAAGATTATCCTAAGAATATGATTTTGCGACTGGTTCTTAACGGAAAACAATCGAAATATCAATTGAAACGTTCATTTCAAAAACGACTTTAATCAATAATTTGGCTTTTTGACTTTTCACCACCAAACCACTCTGTGACCATAGACGCACATTCTGTGCCAAAATCACACACCTATCAGTCCTATCAGTTTTTTGCTTCTGCTGTAAAATGTCGTTTTTGAGATGACTGATTCAATTTCATTAATCATATTTTATTTACCCATTAAGCTACCTTCAATAGAAATGGCATTACGAATTACCATAACGAACATAAATGGGCCGAAGAAAATCATAACGCAATAAAAGTGACTCATCACCAAATGACTTTTAAAGTCAATGTTTGGACAGTCATTGTAAATAATAATTTAATAGGACCAGTATTTCTTTCAAATAATTTAAATGGTGCAAATTACTTGCAGTTATTACAAAATGATTTACTAGAGTACTTGGAAGAGATAAATTTAGGAATAAGGCAAAATATGTATTTACAAGATGAAGCTCCAGCGCATTTCGATAACAAGTTATGGAATATCTTTTCTGTCTGTACCCTGGATGTTGACACCTATTTCATGGCCAGCCAGAAGTCCAGATCTTAACCCTAATGACTTTTGTTTCTGGGGTTTTATGAAAGAGGACGTATTCTGTTGAAATAGTCGACGAACAACAACTGAGGCATCGAATCATTGAAAGTGTAAATCGATTTCGTTAGAAGGCAATGATCTTCCAAAAACTTCGGTTTTCCTTTTTAAAACGGTGCCGAATGTGTATTCAGGAAAATGGAGTGCATTTTGAACATTTATTATAGTAAATACTAAACATTTATACATATTTTTTATACCTGCGAATAACATGAACACTCAGTTATAACTTACTTTTTGTTACTCAAAATTTTTGAAGGATAATGAAAAAGAGGCTGCATAAGGCTAAGAATTTAAAAAATGATATATCAAACCAATGGTGTCACAATATTTAATTTAATTGTAACGCATAGAAAAGTTTGGGAGGTTCTAAAATTTTTATGGGCTGTACAGATTTCGTTGTTTTATGTGAAAAGATGCTATAACGATAAGAAAGCCATGTATCCATTTTCATTACAGTTAAACAGTTCATGAAATATTGGAAAACATCGATTTTCATTTTGTATTTTCCAAGGACTGTAACTTTTTTGTTTGCATTAAGCTATGTGGTTCCATTTATGACCTACCTTTTTGTTACACCCTGCATATCCCCTTGAATTTTTACCCCTTTCCTTTTATTTAGTTCCCAATTCGTGTTTAAAACATCACAAGTAAGTATTAAATTCACAATTTGAAAAAGTTTGCAATGTTTGCAAAGTTTTACGTTGACTTGTTTTCTTTCAGGCCTGGTGATGATCAAATTTGGCCGAAACTAGTAGTGCTACTAATATTTATTACATTTAATAAAAACAATAATATTGTGATGTTTGTTTATTTTAAAACAACAGTTTATTTATCAATGTTCTAATTTATATATATATATATATATATATATATATATATATATATATATATATATATATATATATATATATATATATATATATTTACGGTAACCATCCAAACCTGAACCAGAAGTAGTAACTTGGGTTAACAAACTTGAACCACCATCACAAACCTGAACCAGTATATTGGTTCAAGTTTGTTTTGCTGTGTTAAATTATTTAATACCCACTCTATGCTTAAAGTGAAATTTGATTGTAATAGTTCCATAATAAAGGAATCTGTAAATTATGTTTTCAAATCTTCGCGCCCAACACATTGCCGGATATTCCCCCTTTTTTATTGGTTCAGGAATATACGAAACTCCAATATGTAGTTCAACAATTTGACGTTTGCGGCGCTTAGGTAGGTATTTGCGGTATATAATTATATATACGTATTGAAAGTAATTCCGTATCATCTTGAGCCAGTGAATGTGGCAACATTGCGTATTTACAAACATTTTATGTGCTTTCCGTTTTGTAGGAATCATTCAAAACAGAAGTAAGTCGAAAGAAACAAGTATAGTATATTACATTACGTGTGTGGAAAGTGACATTTTTCACACGAGTGGAAAATATGGTCGCACCAGGCACAAGCCGAGTGCGACTATCACACCAGTGTGGAAAATTACTTTTCACACAAGTGATGTACAATATTTTTCCTACGACCACAAAATAATTTCATCAAAAAATGTAGAACCAGGTTATTATTATAATAATTAAAATGTATTTAAAAAAATAATCAACAATAATTGTATTTATGCAATTTTCATATTTTTCGAAACAAAAATTAAAAAACAAAAAAAAATTCTGCAACCACCAAGTTTTGAACGCGGGCCCGCGGACCCGTCGTGTAAGCCAAAGTTCAAATTGCAACTACCCTAAAACTTGAGCTAATAGGTCTTATGTCAAATGCATTTTTAATTCGATTTTAAGTTTAAACAGAATAAAAAGCCAAAATAATGAGATGTATGTAGTTATTATTTTAATAATTGCTAAGTTAATTGTCAATTTTAATAATTTAATCATAATATCGATTTTAGTATTAATATGGACATTACATAGATCAAAATAGAAATGATGTGTTTGACATTTTGTGACAGCTGCTGCGGAAAGTAGCATATTCGTACACGGGTGGAAAGTAAATTCTTATTCATACGCGTGTGATATAGGGCACTTTCCATAGGACTATATAGTGTAATATGTGTCACTTTCCTAAGTGGTCGAAGGAAAAAATATTTTCATTTAGTTATTTTTCATAAAAAGGTCGAAATGGTCTGAAACCTAAAATGCAACTATGATATATTAAATTTTAACAGTAGTATACGAGATATGTCAAATAGGTAATTTTGCTGAAGAGTAAAATATCTTTATTTTTGACAAACCTCGTATACGACTGATAAAATTTGATATCTGATGGTAGTATTTTAGGTTTGAGACCATCCTCGTCTTACTATATGGAGAAACCTTTTTTATTACTAATTTTATGAAAAAAGTTATTTTTCATAAAAAGTCGAGCATGGTCTAAAACGTAAAATGCAACCATCAATTATCAAATTTTATCTGTCGTATACGTGATTTATCAAAAATAAAGGTACTTTATTTTACAGCTAAATTCATATTATTTGATATATCTGGTATACTATTGTAAAAATATATCTGATAGTTGCAGAACTTTTTGTGAAGAAAAACTTTTTTCATAAAGTTAATAATAAAAAAGTTTCCCATATGCTGCGAACTTAAGTGGACACACTGTATATGCTTGAACTTTTGTAAATACCCGACTGTTAATTTCGACGTATTTGTGTTTGGGGACTTACCGCCGCTGACTTGACATGTAAGAACTAAAAGCTGCGTATGCCTATTTCAAAAATAATATTGTTTTATTTCCAAATATTGTCCATATCTTAAAGTGGTCCAAAGTAGATTAAGAAGAAATGAGAGGACCAGAGATCTTATTGGTTAATTTGGGATGGATTCCTTGTTAAAAAAATCTCATTAATAGATTTTTTTATATTTAGACAAC